TCATTGGAGGTTGTTCCGTTTATTTTCATTTCTTCGTAAAAATGCTAATGCCGGCGATCCTCTAACTTTGAAGCATTATAACTTGAAAAGTACTTCATGAAAAAATATTTTATTATAGCGTTTTGGAAAGCTCTCGAGATGTGCTATAAGAATGTGCAATGAAAAAAGGGGTGTTCCATTTAAAAAAATTAATGTGACCTTGACCTGACCTTCGCTACGCAACCCAAGGTCAAACTGATGTGATCAGTAAATACATTTTTTTAAACGCCACAACTTTTGTCTGAAACATTTTTTTGTAAAACTTATATTTTTCCTGATATTCGGGCGTCCCGGTATTTTCCGAACACCCTGTATATATATACGCGTCGTTACACGCAGAACATCGCGAATCAAAAGCGCAAGAGGACAGCGCGTCCTCTAAAATGGTAAACAGCGCGACCGTTGAACAACCGCGGTAAATAGCGAATCAAGCGAAATTCGAGAAGTATAAAACGCCGCGTAATCGTAATCTCGAGAGATTTGATCGTCCGCTCTCGCAAGAGAATCAGCCCGATCTACCGCTCTCGAAAGAGAATCCGATTCCGATTATCCGCGCTAAAAGAGAACGCTTCTACTCCTGGCAGATTACTGTTCGTCGATTGGCGACGGTAATCATTCCGTCATCGTTACACGGATACGTGTCATCGACATTCGCTTCTACTCCGCTCCTGGCAGATTATTGCTCGTCGATTGGCGACTGTAATTACTCCGCCGTCGGCTCACGAATGCGTGAAGTCGACACTACTAAACGCCGAATTCCGTCAAATTCCACAGCCGACGCAGGCGTGGAATCCGCCACCGGAAGGGCGCACTAAGCCGCCTTCGTACCGCGCATCGGATCTCGTCGCCACCTTAGGGCGATCGAGATCAACTCATATCGAGTCACCGCAACCGTACTCATCCAGATCAGCTCGAGGTTGCGCTCCGTGGTAGCGTATCTTTGACCGCACATAATTAGGAGTCGCCTAATTAGTGCACCGTCATCACCTCGCCGTTTCGCGAGACGAGCACCGGAATCGTTGACCATAATCCCCAGAGGGAGAGCAACGGACTCCGATACCGCGACGTATAGCCGCGCCCGCGGCTTTACCACACCGTATCCACAATAACGATAGAACGAGCTGGGCTCGTTCGATTATAACGAAAACTCCGAGATCTAAGATCCCGTGTACAGGGACCGTCAACCGCACCGCATGTACCGAGGCTTAGCAGCTACCCGCGATAAGCGATCATCAGTATCACTGTACAGGTGATACTCGGCGTGCAGCTACGCTATAGGCAACGACTGTATACATTGTACAATTCCAAAACGCAACGAACATCACTGCACGAGAAACTGTCAACCGTGATTTAAAGAGGCGCGACGCCGAAAGAAACATCAACACAACAGCCTCGCAAAGACGCGACACTAACAAGGAGATGACGCCAATTAGGAAATCGCTTTTCCAACGAGTCATAGTGCGTTCGATAGCTTACATGTAGCTAATAAAAACCCTAAAGGCGTTTGTGCCAATGGGCCTTCGTTTAGGAGAAATTACAAAACAAAGTTAGGGTCACGTAACTATGTCCCATGTAAAGAAGAACATTAGAATCTTTTTCGAGTAAGCGGCGTAGCTGAGCCGACTAAGGCTCCCGTCCATACATTTTTGCGCCGGCGGCATGCGTTCGAGTCCCGCCGACGACTGCTTCGCTTTTTTTTTTTTTTTCAATTTTGGATATATAAAAGACACTACATTAATCATTATTTATTTTTTTAAATTTATTTTGTTTTTCTATGTAAAAATAAGGACATTTCGGGATGTTTGAACGCAATACGAAATAAAAAACAGTTTTAAAGTCATGAACTGATTATATTTCTCATGCAATGTACATGTGTTATTTTGTCAAGAATATTTTGTACAATATAAACTTTCTTTTATAATTATATATTTATTTACATACGATAAAAGGTTTCCATCGCTTCGCAATGTTGTGGATGAAAATTGATGTAAAAATAAACATCGCATATCGATGTACATCTTGGCGGTATAAATTATAAATTATATTTTGGTTTATTATTTTTGTTGTTGAATTTTTTATATGTAGAATAAAAGTGTGAAATATTATAAAAAGATGAGACTCGCAAATGGACAAGCAGGTATATTCGTCAGTGTTCACTTGTAAGAAAGGACCTTTGTTAGGTAGAGTCCCCCCCTCCTTTCGACCTTTTTAACGGTTTTCACAGAGGGACTCTCACACGTTGTAACGGTCTGACCAGTTTCGTGGTAGCATTTGTAAAGAGAGCGTGGTACGAAACATCAGTAAAAATGGAGACAACATTTATTACCGATGAAACTGTCGAATATGTGCAACTTCTTGCAAAGTGCGATATTTCGAAGGAAGACTTGACGGATGCGGTTGAATATTTTCGTGGTAAATATATTAATGAAGAATTAATTATCTGCTTTCATAACGTCACAGTATATTTCAAATTATAATGTAAAATAATTGTTTGTAGATATTGCTGTACGCTTTAATTTAATATTTGTTGACGCCCCACGCAAATTTTCGAACAATGCTAAATTAGTTGGCGGCAAACTTTTTGAAAAATTTATTAAACTATTAGGAGAGCATGAAATTTTGGACGACATTGAATATTATACAGAAGAAGAACAAAACGTGGTTGTATGCGAAAATATGCCGAGTACAAGTAAGAATACACCCGATGAATTGGAAGATTATGAACCTCCAGAAAAAATTTCTACGCATAAAGTAGTGCCATACGATACAAAATTAAAGGTCGTACTGACAGCACAAGAACATCCACAGTGGTCTTTCAAAACATTAAAGCATCATTTTAGAAAATATTTAAACCATCCTTCTGATGTTACGAAATATAAAAAAGCTGTTTTGTCAGGCGGTACTTTTAGAGACAAATTAAATACAATAAAAACTAATGTGTACGATCGCTTCACAGAAGCAAGAAATAAGAATCAATTAGTTACGCGACGTTTGCTTCAACAGTGGGCTATTGCTGCAGCCGCACAATATAACAAGCCAAAAGAAGAACAAGACAGCGAAGAACATACAAATGTTTTTCATTTCGTAGCATCCAGCACGTGGTTGACCAACTTTTTACACGATTATAGGATATCGAATCGTCGCGTTGTTCGATATGTTTCCAAAAAAGAAGCAATTACACCAGAAGTTGTCATAAAATCAGCGGAACAATTTCAAACATTAATTCAAGCAATTTCGCCAGATTACGATCCCGATTTTGTCATTAATACAGACCAAACAGGATGTGAGTATAGAGTTAATGTTTCGCGAACTTACACGCACACTGGAGAAAAATTAGTTCAATTGTACATAGGCGATTTAAATAAAGTTTCGCATTCATACACCGCCCAGTATTCACTGACGAAATCCGGGAAGTTATTAAATAAAGTATTTGTTTGTTTGCAAGAATTTTCTGATAATTTTGGAGTACGCGTACAAAAAGATGTAGATAAATTATTAGAATTATGTAAAAATGTCGTTATTACATGTTCTAAATCGGGCAAATTAACAACATCATTATACGCACAGTATTTGGAAAATGTTGTTAAGCCGTATGTCGGGGATAATTTGTTTTTATTTATTGTTGATTCCTGGGGAGGACAAAAAAACATCCAAATGTATAACGAAATATTTCGCGACAAAAATAATAAACCAACATGTAATTTACAAATTATACCGCCAAAATGTACTCCGATATGTCAGCCGTGCGACGTTTATTTTTATCGACAAGTGAAAGTTATAATTAAGAAAATACAAAACTGTCCAGATGTAATTTCACAATCAGGTGACGAAAGCAAACAATTAAATACTCGTGCTGATGCGATTCGTATACAATCTTTAACTCATTATCTGTTATCAGCGCCGAAATTTAAATGTATGCTTCAATATGCATGGTATGCATCCAAATTAGCTGACGATAGAGAAATATTTTTAAATGTGAATCAATTATGCTTCTCTTCAAACATTTATAATAAAACATGTGTATGTGGACAACATAATTCATTTATTAAATGTTCGTGGTGCGAAAAAATTTTATGTTTCCAATGTTTTTACATCAATTTTCATCCACAACATTGCGAAGCGATGGAAACCTTTTATCGTATGTAAATAAATATATAATTATAAAAGAAAGTTTATATTGTACAAAATATTCTTGACAAAATAACACATGTACATTGCATGAGAAATATAATCAGTTCATGACTTTAAAACTGTTTTTTATTTCGTATTGCGTTCAAACATCCCGAAATGTCCTTATTTTTACATAGAAAAACAAAATAAATTTAAAAAAATAAATAATGATTAATGTAGTGTCTTTTATATATCCAAAATTGAAAAAAAAAAAAAGCGAAGCAGTCGTCGGCGGGACTCGAACGCACGCCGCCGGCGCAAAAATGTATGGACGGGAGCCTTAGTCGGCTCAGCTACGCCGCTTACTCGAAAAAGATTCTAATGTTCTTCTTTACATGGGACATAGTTGCGTGACCCTAACTTTGTTTTGTAATTTCTCCTAAACGAAGGCCCATTGGCACAAACGCCTTTAGGGTTTTTATTAGCTACATGTAAGCTATCGAACACACTATGACTCGTTGGAAAAGCGATTTCCTAATTGGCGTCATCTCCTTGTAAGGCCGGCCGCGTCCCGCGCACCGCGCGTCACCTCTCGCCAAACATCGGCTAGACAAGCCGCTGACAGACAATATACAAACGGCGGAAACCAACGGCGTCGGCACTGAAAATTGGAAGACTACACTGTAATCACATTTAGCAGATTATTTCAATATAGTGTTTTTATTCATTATTAAAAACTGTTTCCAAATTATTCCGCCTATCACGAACCTGAACCGACGAGCGATCTGAGCACGCGACGCATCGCGGTTACAAATGCTTTCGGAAATCGCTTTGAACATTTACCATCCACAAAACACCAATCTCTACACGGCTAATGAATCATATGTCTCATAACAATATTATGCAAATTTTCATTTTCATTAGAATTAGGAATTTCTGCAGAAATAAATTTATCCACCATAACAGGATTTGAGATTTTGTAATTTTGTTTTAATGTAATTAGCATGTGTATATGTGGTAAACCACGTTTTTGAAATTCAATTACATAAACATATGCCAGAACTTCACAAATTTTATTGTTGTCTAACTATAACATCAATTAAATAATCTTTTTTTATATTAAATACAGGAGCACATATATCTGGTCTATCTGGTTGTTGATTTGGAAGTAAATTTTCTCGAATTTCGCGCCAATTTGGATTACACGTCATGGTAAGAAAAATATCCGGTTTTCCATATTTTCGAACTATAGCCATTGCATCTTGATAATGTTTCATCATATTACGTAGTGAACCTACAAATGTTGATGGAAGAATCATCATTTTTCCTACACATTTATTAGTTTTATCAGCAGCACTTTTTAAATAATCAATTAAACCTTGATAAGTTTCAGCTCGCAATTGTTTTTAACTTTGTTTACAATAATTTATTCTATCTTTTTCTATTTTAATATAATTATCTACAACCTATTGTTGAAACAATCGTCTTCCCATAATAAAAATATTAAAATTGTCACGTATAGCCATCCGATATTTCACATATTCACTCCGACTTATTCGTTTATTACTGTTTTGGTGTCGTAAGTCTCTGTGCCAGCCTTGATTACCATATGAATAATATAATGGATAAATCCATGGTTCTACATTTGGATCCATAGTATTAACTTGTTGCAGTGTCTTATTATTTTTATTATTAGGTGAAGTAAAAAGTTCTAAGCGTTTTTTCGCTTTATTTCGACGATGAAATTAACATAGTTAGGATTATCCAATTTCGATCAAATATGCGCCGTTTTGTTCGATAACTTTTGTCCATTTTGAAGGCAATTTCATAATTCCGCGATTGAAGAAGTTCTCGTCCCTATTTGTAAAAAACTTGACCAGCTTATTTTCACAAGCCTCTCTTGAGGCCAGTTTTGTACCATCAAGAAAATTTTGCAAATGCTTGAAAAGATGATAATCGCTTGGTGCCAAGTCTGGACTATACGGCGGGTGCAATAGAACCTCCCATCCAAGCTCTCGGAGCTTCTGGCGCGTCGTTAATGATGTGTGCCTGGCGTTGCCTTGATGGAACACAACACTCTTCCTATTGGCCAATTCTGGCCGCTTCTGGTCGATCGCCTGCTTCAATCTGCTCAGTTGTTGACAGTAGAGGTCC